CGATTAAAATCGGCGTCGACGTGAACGGGCACACGGGCGATTTTTTCGAGCGATTTTAGAATTTGCGGCGATCGGGCGATAAAAATCGCTCGTGTGCCCCTACCATTAGAGTTAGAGAAGTTAGAACATTGTCATTTCAATAATAAAATTTAAGTGAAAGTATATAAACACGAAATGTATTTACTAATATGTAACTGTAGTCTGTAACACAATTTTCCCCACGAACGCCGCTGTGCAGAAACAAAAATATAAACACACACGCCACTGACGCTGTGCATAAACTCGCAGACGGGTAAAGCAAGTAGGAAAGCGTGAGTTCCAAAGTCGTACTTTCGTTGTCGTCGTCGGATTTTTTTCACACAATCGCATCAAAAGTAAACATACAACCGCCTCCATCATGTTGGTATCCATGCGTAGCCGAATATTGACATGTTCGAATTATTGGCTATGGCCCTTACCATTTGGCACAAACCCACAACTTCCATTTACCTATCATTTACACATCTATATCTAATAGTAATAGTAATAGGATCCTGCAGAAAACACCCACAGCATGGCAATGTAAATTGAAGCAATTGTCCGTTTATGATTCGAAGTTCCCTAACTATTATTTGGCTATTAAACTTGGGCATGTGTGTGATGTCATTCTTGCGGAAGTCGTGCTGGCTTGGCTTGGAGGTGAGTGGCAAGACTCGTAATGGAACTTCAACTTGGAAGCGAGGAGCACTGGAACCCAGAATGCAATACGTCACCATTACTCATGCAGTGCGCGAAATTAGCGCTATTTTGCCGGCGGCCGCCAGTTCAACCCCCCATATAATCAGCCCACTTGGCCTACTCAAAGTCTTGCCTATCTTGCCTTTGTAACAACAATTAACAACAATATTTGCCAATTTTCTGACTAGTTAGCTCAGCTGACGAAGTCAGATGCAGCTTGTAGAATCGCATGAGCGTCCGTCCCTCCGTGCGTCCGTGCATCCGTCCGTCCGTGTGTCAACAGTTATGGCACAAATTCTTAACCGCATCGACCGTACGGTGCTGAGTATTCGGAGTCCGACGGATGGGGGGGGGGGGAGATCGGGAATTCAAATTTGGGGTCAAGGGTCAAAGGTCAGATGTGTCAATGGAGGGGAATATTTCCCCTCAACTTAAAAGGTATAGGAGGAAATAACGGATTGCGCACAAATCTCAACGGCTTTGACCTACGCTCTAAATATTCGATGTATAGTGTGATGGGGAGGAAACCCATCACCAGCGCGAAATTGGAGGTCAAATTGGGGGAAAGGTCAGATATCAGACATTTCTGAGGACATGGTCTAAACGGACGGAGTGAAACTTTTTTGTTTTCAGCGCTGACCTACCATTTTTATCACTTTATTGAAAGGACCATGAAATGCTGCTTTCGCGCTGATTGCGAAGAGTAAGTGTCTGATAACCTTTTTGACGCTCAAGAGGAGGGGTAAACACGGATTTGTTGACTGTTAGCAAAGACTGAAACTGCTTTTGCTATTAGAGCCCCTCCACCTTGCTCCACCGCTACCAACCCTCCTCCCCAGCCACCACCACTACGCTCGCAGCTCGGACGCATATCCAGGATAACATGTTAATATAGTTGAAGTCAATTTAAAGTTACACACAGCTTATCTGCGTATTACTGCGTAGCTACCGTATAGCAAAGCGCTATCAATAGATTTTATATCTGTATTACGTAGTATCCTAGATATATATGCTTCTGAAGCCGCGAAAGGCGGTGGCTGGAGGGCGCCACTGATTCGGTTGCCAGTGAGTTTATCAGAAGAATCCCCTGGCTACATAACACGTCAGTTGAGCCGCTGTCGCTCTGCATCACGTTGTTTTTACTTGGTGACTCTAAGAAGTAAAAGTCATGTTCCACGCAATTCCTGTCAAACAAGTAGAACTCCTAGGTGATTAGCAAAATGAAATACTGAAATAGTATAGTATGCTAATAAACAACAAAAAAAAAGCTAATACTTTTATGAGTAATTGAACAAAATTAAGGGCCTGTTTGAAATTTTGGGTGGGCCTGTTCGCATTTTGGCTAATTTCATACCCTGGTCATATGTAAACAAGCAGGTGATCCTGTTTACATAGCCATGGAGTCGGAGTTTTCTGCAGGAAATTGAGTAGATTTCTCTGGGTAAAGTATAATTCTATCAAAGTGGAAGAGTAATAATTTGAACAAGTGACATTCGACTACATATAAATTCAAAATGAATGTGGTTGTTTATGTTTTTTGCGCTGTGAAGGTATAAAACAAAGCGAGCGTTGTGCGAATTTAGTGCTCATGTTTTCCCACCTGCTTTTTTTAGGATGATACTCCATTAGGAGTGTTCACAACTTTAATGTCATTAATGGTCATAATAACATATATATATTATATATAGTAATAATATGTCATGGTCATGATAATTAGTTTGTGGTTTAATGTCATTAGGTTAGGGTTAGGTTAGTTATCAATCATTAAACATTAATCATAAATGATATCATAGTTGGGAACACTCCTAATGGAGCGTTAGCCTATTTTTAGCTCACATTGACATCGTCAAGATGGGCTATTGCCACGGGGCGTTGTCCGTCGTACGTCCGTCCGTCCGTCAACATTTGGCTACGGTCAACGAAAACTCAAGAACCGTTTGACCCACATGTTTCAAATTGCATACAGTTGTTACTCCCGTGGGAGAGATTTGAACGTCCTATTTTAGAGCACGCCAGTCGACCTACTTTCGAGCCACGCTTACTTTTTGGCAAAAATGGAAATGGCCATAAGTCAGTTCAGGTTCAACGGATTTTGCTCATTTTTGGTACATGTGAATGAATAAGCACTGGCCCCAAAACATATCACAGGTGTTTTGATATTTGTGAAAAAATTATGCAAATTAGGTCGATTTTGGCAATTTCACTATGCATTTCAGTGTCTGCCTACGGTCAACGAAAACTCAAGAACCGTTTGACCCACATGTTTCAAATTGCATACAGTTGTTACTCCTATGGGAGAGATTTGAACTTCCTATTTTGGAGCACGCCAGTCGACCTTCTTTCGATCCATGCCCACTTTTTGGGAAAAATGAAAATGGCCATCTAGATTCGTTGGATTTTGTTAAATTTTGTTATGTCAGTGTGTAAGGCTAGCCCCAAAACAGTTGTTACTTGTATGGGAGAGATGACAACGTCCTATTTTGGAGCACGCCAGGCGACCTACTTTTGAGTCATTCTCAACTGCGTGTTTGCTGCATTTTTTTTGGGGGGGGGTTGCGATTTTGTAGTACATACGTTACTAGAAAGTAGTTATTTTATGCTAAGAACAATGAAGGAATGAATTAGAAGTCTAATTAATACCTTTAGTGTAGTACCACTAAATACTGTTAAAACTGTGGTGGCTAAACTCCCTCCCCCCCCTCACTCGGTGCATTTGTTCCCATTCACTTATTTGTGCCCTTTTTGTGGTGAGCGACGGTGAAATTGTGTGGTGCAGACACCCATCTGAACTGCTTAAATTATAGAAAACTGTTTCAAATAATAGGCGAAAGAGAATGGGTTAACATTAAAACTTTTGTAGGTAATACATCTCGAGTGTTTATTTACCATCATTACCTCCGCCCAACGGAGTTGGAGGAGGTTATGTGATCGCTCTTGTGCGTTCGTGCGTTCGTGTGTTTTTATCATTGAAACACTTCAAGTGCCTGTGGCATAGACCTATCTGCTACAGAAACCTGTGGCAATACAAAGTGAAGGGCCATACAGGTGTAGCTGTACCTAGTTCTGTTCTGTTATTTTGCGTTCTGTTTCTTGTCGGTGTCCCCTAAACAGGATGAGGATGTAATGACAAAGGAGTTTTGCATGTATGTTGTAACTAATTATCCATAGTATATGGATATAAAGTCAAGGTATCATTAAATAGTTACCCCTGCTAGAGTGATAGGCCAACCATTTTGCTAATCGCTAGTCTTCGCGTCATAAGCATATTGAATATTTCTATAGTCCAGTAAAATCATATTGAAAGTAAAATCATAGTGACCCAGTGGGTCAACATTTGGTTAGGTTTATACTTGATGAAGTTATGCTTTACAAGTACAAGGATTCTAAAGAATCCACATAATATTCTTTGAATAAATAAATTAAATTTTATACATGTGTCGTTTATTTACAGGTGGAGAAGAAAGTGGAGAGAGAGGCAAAGTGGAAGCACTGTGCATTGACACAAGAGCCACTTCGAGATCCTGTTGTTTCATGTGAACTCGGAAGGTTATTACGCTATTGCACTATGTGGTGTTGCGTGTTGCTTTTCGCGTTGTATTTTGTTGTGTTGTGTTGTGTTATATTTTATTATGCTACCCCACTTGTAGCGATCCTTTATATGGGATATCGTGATATTTTTGTGTGCAAGATAGTGCTATGCAGTTCATCTGACAGTCATGTTCTTCGTGTAATATTACACCCTTACATATTCAAGGAGCATCCCAAAGTGTCACGTTCATTTTGAAACTGGAGGTATAAAAAGGAAGGGCGGAATATAGCATATGTCACACCTGTCAACAATCTCATGGTTTCTCACTTCTCATTTATATTCACTTTCTACATTTATCTTTAGGTTATTGTATATACGCTACATTAGATTCGTTTTGAATTACCTCTTTACTACTCCATAGCAAGGGCAGCGGAACCGGGGGGGGGGTAACGCATTTTAACCGGACTTAGCACCAACTAAGTACGGTACCAGCTAAGCCGTGTATACGTGTGAACGCAGCTGATCATGCATATAACATATAATATGTATATATATAATATACATAATATATACAATGAAACAATTATTTATATAGAACTGCCTTCGGCAGCACTTCCTCCTTACCCACCTACTGACTGAGCTGAGAGAGCGTTGGGAATGCGGTGAGTAGCCCAATGTTGAGGTGTTTAGGTGGGAGCTCTGATGCTGCTGCACCATGCCGTACGGGTGAACGCTCGTGGAACCAAACGTACGGTGGTGCGACATCGACTTAGATGGACTTCCTCCTGTTCCAGACCAAACTCTGCTACTTGGCTGCGGGAGAACATACGAAGTTACACACGTCTCCTTCACACAGCGTTTCTCTAATCCTACACGACTACATTATTATTACTATCATCAGGGTGCGAAATTAACGCGAGTCCGGAGTCAAATACTCCCCGATTTACTGCCGGACTCCCTGATTTGACATATGCAGGAGTCCGTGTGACTCCCTGAATATTCTGCCATACTAACTAGTTCGTTCCAGAGCACGGCCTCGCGGAAATACCGTATTTTTTCAACAAATGTCCAAAGAAAATTTGGCAGACGTGCAACCGCATGAATCTTCAAAATAAGCACATGCGTTATTGTTAATATCTTTAATTTTAAACTTCAGACTGCGGACTCCCTCATTTTGCCGCAGACTCCCTCTTTTTGAGGGCAGGGAGTCTGTTGGACTCCCTTGTTCAAAAGTTCATTTCTACCCCTGTATCATCCTATATTACTAGTGTTACGTTACACGTAAACAGTGAGTGAAGCAAGCTAAACTATTTAATAAAGCACATGTAATTCCTTATAAATTGTATCCTTTCTTTTGTTTCACGGACTCCGTCTCAGTATCGCATAAATATCCTCGGCTGTCATAGACATGGATAGGCATGCTACACGCTTCCTTCACACACAGTTATTCCCTAATCCTACATGATGATATATATTTTCAGCTCAATATTTCCCTCTCCAGAATTTGCGATATGCTCTATATATTTTCAGCTCAATATTTTCCTCTCCAGAACATGCGACAGTACATGTTTCCTCCACACAGTGTTTCCCTAATCCTACGTGACGATATATATTTTCGGCTCAATATTTTCCTCTACAGAATTTATTCAACGCAATTAGTTTTAGCTCGTCTAGGTCACGTATGGTGGCCAAGTGTTATAATAGTTTATCACAAGTCTTCGACGTGGCCCACTGTTATAATACATAAACATAACCATATATACCGCTGAGTATGGTGGCCCAGTGTTATAATAGTTTATCACAAGTCTTCGACGTGGCCCACTGTTATAATACATAAACATAACCATATACCATACACACATCCATAGACCATATACCATAGACCATATAAACGTCTAAGACTTATATAATATAACATGGTAAAAATATAAAAAAATCATAAAATTTGGGGTGGGCAAGTGCACCCCCTGACCCCCCCCCCGTTCCGCTGCCCTTGCTATGGTAAGTAAAGAGGTAATTCAAACGAATCTAATGTAGGCGTATATATCAATAACACTAAAGATAAATGAGAAAGTGAAATATAAATGAAGAAGTGAGAAACCATAGATTGTTGACAGGTGTGATCATATGCTAATATTCCGCCCTTCCTTTTTATAGCCGTCCAGTTCAAATGAAACGTGACACTTGGATCTACCTTGAATATTAAGGGGTACATATTACATCGAAGAACATGACTGCAGATGAACTGCATTAGCACTATCTCACACAAAAATATCCAGCGATATCCCATATAAAGGATCGGCTACAATGGGTACGGCAATAAATAAAATATAACACAACACAACAAACAAAATACAACGCGAAAAGCAACATTATGCAACACCACCATAAGGCAATAGGCATAATAACCTTCCCGAGTTCACATGAAACAACAGGATCTCGAAAGTGCTCTTGTGTCAATGCAGCAGTGCTCCATTTGCCTCTCCTCTCCACTTCTTCTCCACCTGTAAATAAACCGACACATGTAATAAAATTAAATTATTTAATTTAGTTATTCAAAAATATTACTGTGGATTCTTAGAATCCTTTACTTGTAAACCATCACTTCATCAGATAACCTACAGAAACCAAATGTTGACATCCAACTGGTCACTATGATTTTACTTCAAGTAATGATTACTGGACTATAGAAATATTCAATTATGCTATAACGCGAAGACTAGCGATTAGGCAAATGGTTTGGCCTAATCAACTCTAAGCAGGGGTAACATAATTGAATGATACCTTC